TCACCACCAGTGGGCAAGAAGCACTCATCTTCCAGACTTTTAAGTAAAAACCTCCATCTTTCTCACTTGACATTTTGTCATTATTGCTGGCTGTTTCAAATTCGTGATGACTAATCAATGAAGAAAAGACTTAGAAAATTTACCTTCTTACATAAAACTGGTATGATCTAGTGGTGAGGAATCCTGATTCCTATTGAAATGGATCTGTGCTGAAGTGGGCTCCTCAGGTTTCATAAACAGATGGGCATGATTGAAATACTTCTGATTACTAAAATCCCTGGGCTCATGCCGCTCTCCCCTAACTGGTTATGGGATCTTAGGCAACTCATTTCATCTCTGTGCATCTGTTTTCCTCTCTAAATGTTGAGGGACTAAGATCAGTTTCCATCAAGCTGTAAACATTCTAGAATGATTGCAGCCTGAGAAAGTTGTTGAAGATATAGGTGTTAAATTACATTGTGCATTTTTTTCTGTAGAAACTATCTATATTGAATCTTTTCAGTTTTAGAATTTAGAAGGTATCTTTAGGCCTACATAGTTATTAAAAGGCAGAAAGTTTAAAATGGTGGTTTTTCAACCTTTTGGGAAGCTGTTAGAAAATATAAATATCCAGCTATAACCCCTAATATTTTGGTGTAGGGTAATGCTCAGTCCTCCCCGCCCCCCAACTTGCCATAGTGATTCTAATGTTCAACCAGAACTGAGAAAACCTGTTTCTAAAGATATCGGGGAACTTTTTCTTTCATTTTCAAGGGGAGTATGTCATACTGTACTGAGCATTTAGATTGATTAGTTTCTATTGTTACCTGCCACAGTGGTGTGGTTCTGTAATAAATGAGATAATTAATATAAAACTCTTAATTCTCTGTCTGTCACAGAATAGGTGTTTAGCTAATGTGAGATCCTTTCCCCAGTGACTGTATCCTGTATATTAATTTATTATTATGACACCATGCTCCGTACTCTAGTAAATTAAAAATCGTTAGTAAGGTTTTCTAATTTGTCTTGGAATGTAGATGCTAAGCCTCTTTGGCCTACATTTCACTGGAGTTAAATTCTGCCTCCAGAAGAGCTTTCCCCAGGAACATTGGTTTGGTTGCCCAGTTTTCTTACACATTGTTTCATGTCTTATTTTTATTATCTTCTAAACCCATATTGTCACAATCGTTGCTAGAACAGAGTGAGCAGGAATAATTGCTTTTCCTTAAAGGCCCAGGTCAGAGGTCTGAACCACAGGTGGCTTGTGAGTGAGTTCTGGAATCCAGAGTGAGTGAGTGCCTGGAGGTGCCCACCTGTGTATAGCCCTGGCCGTCTCACACCAGCCTTTTATTGCACATTCTCAACACTTGCCGAACGAAGCTCAGAAAGGGAGTGGTTATTGGAGTTCACTTTGTAAAACTTGATGTGGATTTCCATTTTAATCACTAAGTGTGTTCTCTAGGGAAACCCCTAGCTCAATCCAGGTTGTCTTCAGATACTAGCTTGTATCTGGCTGCCGTGAGTCACGTTTTCGCCGTTTCTAGGTATGGACGGCCCGACCCTCTGCTGCGGAGGGAGCACGACATTCGCGTGAGCCTCCAGATGGCCTCGGTGCAGTACGTGCACACCCAGCGCTTCCAGGCGGAGGTGGTGGCCTTCATTCAGCACTTCACTCAGCTGCAGGACGTCCTGGGGCGCCAGCGGGCCGCGATTGAGGGCCAGACGGTAGGCAGTCTCATTTCTCCAAGTTGCCTTTTCAGTTTGACTGATCAGTGGAACTTTTAAGCCTCTAAAGCTAAACCTGGACAATTTCACTCAAGGTAATTAGATAACTTAATGCTTACTGATGTCCTCCATGTAGCTGGTTATCTATAGAAATCTTGCTGTGATCTGAGACTTACATTTCTTATTCATTGGATTGTGTTCTAGTTACCTTTAAAGTTTAGCTTTAACTTTCTCTAAAAATGATTCATGAAATTTATGGATAACACTTAATACTCTGGCCCTTCTAGGACTTTAGTGAGGATTCTTCTACTGGAAAGTGGTCCTGAATAATGTATATAAAGAGGGTTTTTTTCAAATAGAATTAGAAATTCCCAAACTGCTTCTGGCACCCTTACTGTCTTGGGAGTCTTTCCATGGCACATGCTGGGCCAAAAGACACACCTAATGGCTTCCCATTTACGAAGTAATTAAGACTAAACAATTAAGTAAGTACATATGTCCTAACACTTAGTAGCTTTTTGAAAAATAATAACACATAAGTGAAAGAATAATATTTTTATTTCATTCTCAAATAACCACAAATTCTCAAACTTGGAATTGGATTGGACATGACAGCCCTCATTTCCTGTTCTGCATTTACTTTCTCATGGTTCTTGCTTTTTGTCACAGCAGCTGCTTAAGACCTAGCTTCACAAAGATGAGACATCATTGAAAGGATGTCACAGGATTTAGTATTGAAAATGAACTAGCTCAAGCTAGTGGTTTGCATTTTGCGGTGTCTGACAGATGACATGTTTACCTAAAACTTTAACATGGCCTGGCAGCCCACTTGTGAGTGGGCAGCAGCATCCTGCAGTGTCTTGGTGCAGTTTGGGAATCACAGAAAAACAATTATAATGTAGTTCTATTTTTTTAAAATATATTTTTATTGATTTCAGAGAGGAAGGGAGAGGGAGAGAGAGCTAGAAACATCAATGATGACAGAGAATCATTTGTTGGTTGCCTCCTGTGCCCCCCCGCCCCTTCCCCACTGGATTGAGCCTGAAACTGGACATGTGTCCTGACGGAATTGAACCATGTGCCCTGGTTTGTAGGTCAATACTCAATCACTGAGCCACACCGGCCAAGCTATGACTTGCTTTCTTTGGTCACTGTGTTAATAAGATTCATTCAGATTTATTACATGTGATTGCATTTCATTTATTTTCACTGTTAAATTTCATTGTATATAATGACACACATGGTTTATTCACTTTCCTGTTGAACACTTGGGTTGTTTACAGTGTCTCCCAATGTACATGTATGTGTTAGAGAGTTTTTCTGAGATACTTCGGAGTGGAATTTTTGGGCCAGAGAATTGCACATATTTCTCTATAAGATAATGCCAGGTTGTTTTCAGAAATGGCACCTCCATTACATACTGCCATGGATAATGTGTAAGAATTCCTTGTCATTCATATCTTTGCCAACACTTGTCAACCTTTTTGTTTTGGGCTGGCTACGAGTGTAAAATGGTATTGTGGTCTACATATGCTTTTAAAAAAACCTTTTAAATTGAGGGAAAGCATATAGTTCATATAGGGAAGTACAGAAAGTGTGTTACCTTCATGCATACACTTTGGGAATAACCCTTTTTCATAATCTTTTTCCATTTTGCTTTGCATTTTTCATAGCAATTCTGTTTAATAATAACTATGTAATCCAGAAAGTTAGTTTACTTAACCATTTTCTTATAATGCTTCCATGAATATCTTTGTGCCCATAGTTTATTTTTGAATGCTTCTGAATTATAGGTTTGAATCCTGTAAATGGTATTGAATACCTAAGTGGTATTATTTTATAGGATTGAATCCTATAAAGTCATGAACATTTTTTGTGACCCTCAGTTCAACTTTGCTAAATGTTGTCTGGTGGAATTATGTACATTTAAAACAATTATTTTTACATGTGTTTAAACTGTAATAAGTAATTGTGAAGAACCAGTTGGGTTAGGAAAGTACACACTGTGCATTACAGAGTAATTGGGTTTAACTTCCTGGGGAGGAAGAAATTAAATAGGTAAGTTTTAAATGATACAAGACAAGCGGAAGGTAAAGGCATATTTTTCTGTTTTGAATCGTGCTAAATGTGTGGCATTTGAAGAAAAGCCAATCTTCTCAAGGATTTGTAACCTAGCTGTTTGAATTATTTAGATTTACAGAGAGAGCTAAAGACCTACTTTGTTGCAGAGAAGATTAAGAGGTTATTTTGTTTGAAATTTAAATTCCTTTCTCCTAATATTGTACTGATGACAGGTGGTATTGTCTACCTTTGACTTGTACCTGAATTTCTAGTCATACATTTTCTAATGTCTACAAATACTGATCCAGTGGGACTTTAAATTTCTTTTTAATCATTTTTTACATTTAAAAAAAATTTTTTTTATTGACTTGAGAAAGAGAAAAGGCAGGGGAGGGAGGCAAAGAGGGAGGGAAGGAGGATGCTTGAAATTAGAAGAACATCATTTACCTAAATCATGTACCTAATTTAGGCCAAAGAGAAATGTTTTCTTTCTTTATTTTTTAAAATACATTTTTTTATTGATTTCAGAGAGAAAGGGAGAAGAAGAGAGAGCAGCATCAGTGATGAGAGAGAATCATTGATTGGCTGCCACCTGCTCGCCTTACACTAGGGATCGAGTCCACAACCCGGGCATGTGTCCTCATTGGGAATCTAACCGTGACTTTCTGATTCATAGGTCGATGCTCAGCCTTTGAGCCATGCCAGCAGGGCTCTTTATTTTAATTTAATTTTTTTTGTTTATCCTCACCTGAGGATATTTTTGCCATGATTTTTAGAGAGAGGGGAAGAGAAGGAGGAAGAGGAAGAGAGAGGAAGAGACATGGAGGGGAGGGAATGAGACAAATACATCCATGTGAGAGAGACACATGCCTCCTGCACATGCCCCACCTGTGGCCGGGGATTGAGCCTGCAAGCCAGGTATGTGCCCTTGACTGGGAATCCAACCTGTGACCCTGTGGTCCAAGGGCCAATGCTCTAACCACTGAGAAAAATCGGCCAAAAATATAGCTGTTTCCTTTATTTTTTACCCCAGAAGTATGATACAGATATCCTGTGTCTTCTACTTTACATGGTGCCTCTCATATTAAACTTGTTTATTCACTGAGGAACTGGAGTACAGAATTTTGGTGGAGTTAAGACATTCACTTTAGAAATCTTGGGACAGGAATCTGGAGTCTAGGTGTTGCCACTATAAGCTGTGTGACCAGCGGCAAGTTATTTTTCTTGCTCTTCTTCTGTTGACTCAGTTGTAGAAGGAAAATGGAGATAACAAAAATAAGTGTGCTTTACATTCAATTAATAATTATTTATATTAACAATGCTTTGGAGTTTTCAAAGTACTTTCATATATATTACCTCATTTGATCCTTATGACAACCTTATTTGTTCATTTTTTCAATTATTTAGTGAATATTTATTGTGGAGTAATGTGTTGTACATTGTGCCAGCTGCTGGGAATATAATGGACAACAAGAAAGACATGGTCATTGACCGCATGGAGCTTATCTGTTAGTGGGAAGATAGAAACATGAAAAAAAGATAATTAGTTATGATGATAAATGATGAGGCCCTATTGGGTTAGGCAGTGGCTCATCTAATATATAAAAATATTTTCTTAACACTGTTTTTTGAAAGGCAGTTTTTCCTTTTGATGAAGTCCAATTTCTTTACTTTATGGTTAGTGCTATTTGTGTTTTATTAAAGAAACCATTGCCTACCACAAGGTGGCGGACATTTTCTCCTTTATCCTCTTTTAGAAGTTTTATAATCTTAGACCTCTCCCATTTTTAGTTGACTTTTGTGGGTTTTTTTGTGAAGTAAGGACTGAGATTCTCCCCCCTCCCCGCCCCCATATACATCCCCAGACTATTCTTTCCCATTGAAATATCTTGGCACTTTTGTTGAGATTCAATTCACCATATATGTCTATGTGTATTTCTTCATTCTCTATTCTGTTGTATTGAGTTTTATTTAATTGTATGCCAGTGCTACCTAGTCTTGATTACTGTTGCTTTGTGGTATGTCTTGAAATCCAGGTCTAAGTTCTCCAACTTTGTTCCTTTTTTTTGCAAAATTGCTTTGGCTATTCTAGGTTCTTTGTTTTTCCTTATACATTTTAGAATCAGCTTGTCTATTTCTACAGTAAAGTCACTGAGGATTTTGGTTGAGATTGCATTGAATCTGTGTATCAGGAGAATCGACACCTTAGCAATCTTGAGTCTTTGCATCGTTGAGTATGGTACATCTCTCCATTTAATTAGGTCTTCAATTTCAGCAATATTTTATAGTTTTGGGTATACTGGTCTTACAGTTATTTTGTTATATTTGTCTCTAAGTATTTCCAATTTTGGATGCTATTGTAAATGATATGAATTTAAAAAATCATATTGATATGTTGACCTCATATCCTGTCATCTTAATGAAGTTCCTTATTCTAGTTCAGGGGTGGGCAACCTTTTTGCTGCGTGCCAAAACCAGCAAAATCTCTGACTCAAAATTCTTCTGTGTGCCAACCCTAATTTTTTGAGAACATGTTACGCCTACTTGATATCTGTTAAGGTGTACGTATGTGAAGAACCTTGAAGAAATAATAAAATTCATTTGAGCGACAAAAACACAGTATATGATGATGAAAAATACATTTATTTTTTAATGTATACATGCTATATAAAATTATTTATTTATCTAAGATGCACCTACACTGAATTTATCTGAAAAATAAAGAAGTCGATATTAAGAAAAAAATTGTAAATGGAAGATTATAAGAGAGGGTTTCGCGTGCCAGCAAAAGTTACTGGTGTGCCATGTTTGGCATGCATGCCAGTTTCTTTAAATTCTTTAGCTGTAGATCAGCTGTAGATGATGGTTGTCTGAGAATAAGAGAATTTTATTTTTCCCTTTCCAACCTAATTGCCTTTTTGTCCAGACTAGGACTTCCACTACAATATTGAATAAAAGTGGTCAGAGTGGCTATACTTGTCTTGTTCCTTATTGTAGGGCAGTGATTTTCAACCTTTTCCATTCCACTGCACACATAAACTAATTACTAAAATTCTGTGGCACACCAAAAAATATGTATTTTGTGGATCTGGCCAAAAAATAGGAATAATTTTGATTCATTCACACCAGACAAATATTGTCGTATTGGCTGTTGTCATTTTTTTTATTTGACAATCTAAGGGAAAAGAAGTCAGGCATACCTGTTGAAAATTGCTATCTTAGTGGGAAAACATTGTTTTTCACCATTAAATATGATGTTAACTGTAGATAGTTTTTTTTAAAGGAGTTTGTCTACTTCATCTAAATTGTCAGTTTGTTGGCATGAAATTTTTCATAGGTTCCCTTATCTTTTTAATATTTGTAAGTTCTGTAGCAGTGTCCCCCACTCCTTCCTTTTAGTGGTGATTTTTGTTTCATTTCTTTCTTTTTATTATTATAAGTAGAGGTTTATCATTTTTCATCAGTCTTTTCAAAGAACCAATTTATTGAAGCCTGGTATAAAGATTAGAATTTAAAAAGAATGTATATTCTGTGGTTGTTGGTGTAGTGTTCCATGAACGTTTTATTTTTTTTCTATTGTTTGTTTTCTAATTAAGTAATTTCTGTTCTTTATTATGTTCTTTCCTCTACTTAGTTTTATCTTGCTTTTCTTTTTTTTTTTTTTTTTAGCTTCTTAAGATAGAAGCCTTGAACATTGGCCTTAAATCTTTATTTTTAAATATAAAATAAACATTTACTGAACATTTTCTCTACTGTTTTAAGCACATCCCTTGAATTTTAGCATGCAATGATTTAGTTATCAGTAAGGTCAAAATATGTTTCCATTTCCCTTGTGATTTCTTCTTTGACCCATGGGTTATTTAGAAGTGTGTAGTCTGATTTTCAAATATTTGGGGTTTTTCATTATCTCCTTGTTACTGATTTCTAATTTAACTCCATGGTGGTTATAGGATATACTAGTTCTCTGTATGATTTTAGGTGTTTTGGTTCTATAAATTTATGGAACTTTTTGGAGACCTGTAAAATTAGGGAATTAATTGATCCTCTGAGTCCATTTTCTTTTCTCTTACAGGTGAGAGATCAAGCCCAGCGCTGCTCACGGGTTCTCCTGGATATCGAGGCTGGTGCTCCTGTTCTCCTTATCCCAGAAAGTTCCAGATCAAATAATCTGATTGTAGCAAATTTGGGGAAGTTGAAAGTCAAGAACAGGTTTCTCTTTGCTGGTTTTCCTGGGACCTTTTCCTTACAAGATAAGGTGAGCAGTTAGTACCCATTCCCTTGTCACTGAACTGGCATTGAAACACTAATTGAAAAATTCATGTGTTGCTGTGAGGTGGTCCTAACTGCTGTTAGTGTATGTGACTTTGAAGAATTATTATTATTATTATTATTATTATCATTATTATTATTTAATCCTCACCCAAGGATATTTTCCCCATTGATTTTTAAGGAGTGTGAAAGGGAGGGAGCAGGAGGGGAGAGAGAAAGAAACATCGACTGGCTGCCTCCCGCATGCGCCCCGAGCCTGGGCAGGGAGCAAACCTGCTACTGAAGTATGTGTCCTTGATTGGGAATTGAACCTGTGACCCATCAGCCCTCGGGCTGATGCTCTAACCATTGAGTAACTGACTAGGGCTTGAAGATTTATTTTTGACATTTTATTGACATTTTAATTTACCTTTTAATAGAGATAGTAGAAATTGTAACCTTTACTAACTGTATGTAGTAAGTAATTTTATCAAACAAACCAACAGAACCAATCTTCCATCTTTATAATGCTTTCCTCACTGTTTGACCTCAGAATAATCAACTTTTTACACTATTTGGCTTTTTCAGGGGACCTGATTTGGCCCAAGGTTTATCTGAAGCCATTAAAAAATATCCTTATAATAAAGTCTTATACAGATATTGCTCTATAGTTTAAAATTATATTAGAACTTATTGTATTTCTTACAATAATGTTTGGAGGTAATTGGCATGAGGATTGCTATTGTTTTCATTTTACATTTAGAAAAAGGGGGACTCATTGAGAATAAATGATAAAAATGGGAGCACCACCCTAGCCAGTTTGGCTCAGTGGACTGAAGGGTCCCAGGTTGGATCTGGTCAAGGGCACATACCTTGGTTGCAGGCTTGATCCCCAGCCCTAGTCTGGGGTGGTCCAGGTGCGGGAGGGAGGCAACCAATTGATGTGTCTCTCTCACATTGATGTTTCTCTCTCTCTCTCTCCCACTCCCTTCCACTCTCCTAAAAATCAATGGAAAAATATCCTTGGGTGAGGATTAACAAAACAAAAAGGAAAAAAAAAGAGAGAGAGAGAGAGAGAGAGAGAGAGAGCACCTAGTAATCACAGACTTAGTGCCAAGAGGATGTGGAGTTGGTCTGATTAGCCCCTCCCACTCACATTTGCACTGAGGAGACTGGTACCATTGCTGGAACTAGAGGTGTCTTGTTCTTTTTCCCCTGTGTGTTTTGATGGCACCTTGCTAGTTTCCACAGTGGCTTTTCACTCTATCTGCTTATTCAGTACAAACTCGTTTTACCTTGTCAGAATAGCACTTACTGAAAACCCCAGCTAGTTATGCTGGTTTTGGTCTAACAGCTAATAACACTGGGAGAGAGATGGCCTTTGAAGGGAGGTGTACATAAAATTTGATTTAATTGTAAGATCTTATGACTGACAATAATAGCACTAATACTGAATGCTTATTGAAAGCTTATTGAATGCTTATTAAATGCTTATTATACATCAGCCTATGCTTTTTACATATTTGTTCACTTTGTTCTCATTAGTAACCTAAGAGGTATCTAGTGTTATTAACACCATTTTTCCAGATAAAGAAATTGAGACTTAAAAAGATGAAGCCATTTCTTTTGGATTATACAGGTAGTGAGGAGGACATGTGGACCTTAGACTTAGATGTGTCTGGCTCCCATACTCCACTCTCTTAGCTGTGATTTGATTTTACCTCCCGGGATCAGGATTAGGTTAACGTGGGGAAAATAAGCTGACAAACGCTGTTCCTGTTATGTGTCTTGAGTAGCCCTTACTGAGTAGCTATAGCTCTTTGAATTTTCTGAAGGGTGGGGCAGTGAATTCATTAAAATATCTTAGATGGAAGAACTCGAAAGATTATGACAGCAAAGATATGAACGCGCAGTTACTGTTGCCTCTCTAGGTACAGATAGAAAAGAAGATGAAAGGGCATGAGTGGGGTGGTAGTCCTTACCAGGATGTTGCCAAGGACAGCAACTCAGTTCAGAAAGTAATAGGAAGATAATATTTGTTGGCAATGCTTAATGTTATGATTTTCAAATTACCGTCTCTGCATTTTTTATTTCTTTTACTTTTCACTCATTCATTTACTCACTGTTATTCACGTAAACATCGTGAACCGAAGATATGTGATTCAGTGAGTGGGAATGGGTGGAGGAAGGAGAAGAGTGAAGATGGGACAGTGACCATCATTGGAACCACGTCCATGTGTTGTAACCTTGGGCTCTGGACCCAGAGTTGGGGGTGTTTGGACAAAGGCCTGGAGGTCATGTTGTCCATGTATCATCTTAGTTATAGCCACTCGCCCAGGTAAACCAGATTTAGTGATCAGAGCGGAGGCCACAGTGTTTAGTGATGCACAGGGAGGCAGCACCAGGTTCGTCCAGCTCATGGGCATCCCTCTGGCAGAGCTGCGAGCAGTCCTCCTGTGGGTAACAGACCTCACCGCCAGAGGCTGCTTTGACTGGGAGAAACAGGCTCCCACTCAAGGGTATTTTTCTTAGTTTGTTAATCCTCACCTCAGGATATTTGTCCCATTGATTTTTAGAGAGAGTAGAAGGAAGGGAGGGGAAGGGGAGAGAGAGAGAGCGAGAGAGAGAGAGAGAGAGATCTATTTGTTGTCTCCCGCACATGCCCCAATTGGGGCCAGGGATTGAACCTGCAACCCAGGTACTTGCCGTTGACCAGGAATTGAACCCATGACCCTCCAGTGAGTCGGCTGATACTCTAACTGCCAAGCCACTACTTATGTGTATTTTTGGCAACAGTAAAAGTGAGATCCACCACCATTGGTCTTTTCACAGTAAGCCCACTAGGGAACTAGTAACCTTGGCCTTAATGAAGTAAATCAGTTTTCATAGTTGAGATATAAGCATTTTGCTGTTTGCTGATTTAAAGAACATAAAAGAAAGATTCATTCATAAAAAGAAAGATTGGTAACTGCTTCTAAACTTTCTTATTCACTTCTCCTTAGTATGAAGTGTTTATAATTAACATGAGTAGATTTTAGACAAAAGTATCAGCACCAGTGTTTGCACACGAACATTGTCCCCATCATCATCTCTGGATATTGCGTCTTTGTTCCAGCTCCATTGCCATTACTGCCCAGGGAGTCCTCCTTGGGAACTGTCTTTTGAGTTTACAGTAAGTTTTTGGGAACATATTTGTTTTGTGGTAAATCTTTGTTTTGAGACCTAAATATTTTTAGAAAAAGGTCAGTTAGAGCCAGAATGGGTAATTAAATTCAATAAGTACCATTTCTGTTTCTCTACCCTTCAGTAAAGGACTGATGTTCTCAGATATCCTATATAATCCTATATAATAAAAGGCTAATATGCAAATTATCCCCTCTGGAGTTCGACTGACTGGGAGTTTGACTGCTCGCTATGATGTGGCTGACCACCAGGGGGGCACCACAGAATGAAGGAAGGCCCTGGCTAACAGCCAGCATCCAGGGAAGGAAGGCCCCGCTGGCAGCTGGCAGCTGGGGGAAGGAAGGTCCCAATTGGCCCTGATCACCGGCCAGGCCTAGGGGCCCTACCCATGCATGAATTTTGTGCACTGGGCCTCTAGTATTTATATATGGGTTCACAAGCTGACACTGAAGTTAGCATAACAAAGAATTGCCAGCTATCTCAAGAAGGTTTTGTTAAGTAAGCCAGATAACTGTTTACAGTTTGCAGCATTTTAATGAAAAAATTTCCCTGTATTTGTTTTTGAGGATTTGATTTTAAGTGGCAGTGCTTACAAGGATCGCTGTTTCTTCAAGGTATAATATGCTTTTTTGCCTCCTGGTTATTCTGAAAGACCTTATGGGATTCAGCAGTCAATTCACACTCTTATGCTTAAAAAAAATTTTTTTTAAAAATTAACCCTTTAAAGTATCTCATTGGGAAAGTCTGCTTATCGTGTGTGTGTGTGTGTGTGTGTGTGTGTGTGTGTGTCTCACTTTCCTCCTGTGTAGAGAAGTTCTTAAGGACCATGAAAAGCAATTGCTTTTCTTCTCTTTGTCTCTCTTTCCTTTCCTTTTCTTTCCTTTCCTTTCCTTTCCTTTCCTTTCCTTTCCTTTCCTTTCCTTTCCTTTCCTTTCCTTTTCTTCCCTTTCTTTCTTGCTCTCGGTCTCACTCTCGCTCTAGGTAGTATGTAAGTTCTTGGTGGTGTATTTTTATTTCCTTAAGCCCTAGAAAAGCCTTATCTTGTTGCATACTAGTGGTTGTTCTGTAGAATTCCATAAGGGCTGCTTGGAGTGTGCTGCCTGTGAAAGTATCTGTAATCAGATAAACATATCTGTGAAGCTTGCCTCCGACGTGTACAGCCAAGCTCAGTTGACCTAGGCCTATATAAAGTGGATAGTTACTTTCCTCACCAGAAATCAGTTTGCATTTCCATTTGCCCTCGGATACATTTGCACGTGTGAGGTTTGTCTAGCATGCATCCCAGTGGTTGAAGAACAGGAAGTAATCCTGAAACCAAAGCTTGTGGAGAGGTTATTTGCCTTTGAGCTTTATGACTCCTGTGTGTTTAGAATTGTTTTACATAAATCCATGTCCTAATGAGTGCAGGTTTGAATTTTTTACATATGCTCTTCCTTTCATTTTTCTCAATCATAACTTTTGCTTAAACCATAATTTCTAAGTCAGCCTTTCAAAAGCTTTGAGTTAATCTCCTCAAGCCATTGATTTACTTAGACCAGCTACAGTGAGGATGTAGAGATGAGTCAAATGAAAGAGCAACAAATACTCCCTAGAGTTTAAATAAACTAAGCAAGAGGGAAGGTTTTTAATGTTGAAATACTTAAGTAATAGCATTTACCTAGTAATTTGACTTGCAAAACACATTTTGGAAAGTAAGAACTGGTTTCCTTCACTGTTACGTGTAATTGCTACCCAAGAGAACCGGGAAGGAGAGCAGTTACCTCCTCGAAGGCTGAGAGGAGTGACATGCAAGGCCGCACTAGTGGAAAACCCTTCTCCCCTCCTCCAATCCGCTCTTGAGGATGGATAGATGAGAACGCTGGGGAGGCACAAGCTGTAGGGATGCAGGGCTCTCAGGCTTGGGCAAAGCAGTCACGGGAGGTTTTCAAGTCAGTTATTGAATCATTTTGGTGAAAAGATTTATCCCTGTTGGCAGTTAACTGAAGGTACTGAGTATGTAAGAGCAGGGTGTAGTATTTTATAGAATTTATTTTACTCGGGATTAGCCCTTAATCTTTGTGTCCTTGAACGGAAACATAATAGGAATGGCCAACCGCCTGTGTTTTCCTTTTTTTTCTTTCTCCATTGACATACAGTTACTGAGAGAGATAAGAAATGTGAACCCATGAGGAGAGACTTCCAGAAAATGCAAACACTTACGTAATTAATTAATTCCATTGGAACCATACTTGCTGTTAGATACATTTCTTAGAACAATAAGCCCCTCCCGTCCAGCACAGTGACAATATATCATATGGCTGAGAGATTAGCTTTTGCTTCATTTTACGTTGATTCAACAAACCACTGGCCTTTAGCATCTTAACATTTGCTCTTAAGACAGAAGATAATCTCTTCCTGCAAAATTGCCACAGTTTTCAACAGGTATTGAATTATATGTACCATCTCTGCAGGTAATTACATGTGATGTAAATGTCACGATCCTGTTACTACCCTTTGCTCATGCGATCAGGTTGTCTTGGGAAGCGCCAAGTGATAGGGTCTTGGAAGAGCCCAGGGACTGGATGGGATTTCCAGGACCGTAAAGAGACCACCCCCATTCTTGCCTTTTAGCTTTATTCTGTTTCTTCCAGGAATCGGTGCCTTCAGCTTCCCCGGTGAGCTTTCCCAAACACAGCATGAGGAAGACGACGAGCACGGAGGACCCGAAGGACAGCCACACGCCGCCTGCTGGAGTGGGTGTAGGCGCCCTGAAGAGTGAGCTCATGCCCAGTGCCTCGACCAAGCAGCAAGGGCAGCAAGCCACACCCTCTGTCGGCCAGGTTTCCAGTAGTCCAGGTAAGAGAGGAGAAAGGGGCTGGGTGATGAAGGTGAGGAATTCATGAGGTGGCTGTAGGTGGGGGTGTCGTGGGGGGGGAGCAGTGGGAGTGAAAGAGGAGGCTGCACCCTGGCAAAGGGCAGATGCTGGCAGAGCAATAGCATGTCTTCTGTGCTAATGGAATTTTGACATTGCTTTAGTAGGTTTAAGAAATTTAGGTTGTAGACTTAGCATTGGGTGACTTCTAAAGTTGGTTAAATTAGCAAGACACAGGGTAAATAAAGATATTTAGATCATTTATTGGGATTTTTTCCTTATCGGTCAAGAGAGTTGCCACCAGATGGTATATTTATAACTAGAATGATTCCTGCCTCCTTAGACACACCTACTATTCCGATACCATCCTTGCCAGTCACTATTTAATTCTAAAAAATGAAACATAACTCTTTCATAAAATGTCAGTGTAAATTAGGTAACAACAGAAATACTTTAAATAACAATTTTTAAAAGACATGGACCATCTAGTCATTAGTTTCCTGCTCTGGAATTTAAGAATGGGTCATCCAGCTGAGAGCCTAATTTTGGCCTTTTAGTTTTCAGGTGGGTTCTGGTTGGGTGATGGATTGCATGAGTGAGATGCTGCTCCAAGGAGCTCGAGAGGGAAGCAGGGTATTGATTAACCACAAAAACCAGTTGATCGTGGTTGCTGGGGTCCAACCCCAGCAGGTCCGGGGTCCCCAAAGGTGTGGACGGAGTCGGCGAAGAAGGAATGACACGGAGACTCAAGCTGGGGGAGATTGCTGAGCATCTTCTGTTAGATGTGAGGAAGAGCTAGCGCCCTGCAGCGTCTTACAGCCCTCAGGGCGACAGGAGGGTGGTTACTTGGGTGGTTAATGGCATTATATGACTATCATAATAGGAGTTGTTGAACACTTACTATGTGCCAGACATTGTGGCACATTCTTTACGTAAATTATCACACATATTTCATCCTCATAACACCCCTATAGAGTTTTATTTTTATCCCCATTTTACAGGTGAAGAGATAAAGGCTAAGAGAGATTAAGTAATTTAACCTGCCCAGTTACATAGATAGTAAATGGTAGCATTGGACTATGAGCTTAGGCAGTCTGACTCCAGAACCTGAATTCTTAACCCACGTGGTGTTGCCTGTCGATCTATGTATGTCGCACATAGGAGCACAGGAGTGGGTGCACTCACAGCACCCTCAGCAAATGTTGTCTTCTGTCGCTCTGATGACAGTGCTGGTGAGGAATGAGGGCAGCCTTACATATAGGAAGGGATTTGGGATGTAGAAAGATCTCTCCCAAGAATATTTCTCCTGACTTACTTTTTATTTCTGGGATTCCTCTATTTGTGTATAAGATTGGATTAAGGCAGTGGTTTTCATACTTCTATTTACTCTAGGATTCCATGATGACCCCAGGGACTCTCTGAAGCCCTTCCTTCCTATCCCATCCCTCCTTCTTCCAAATCAGCTGTACTTTTATCTGTTTCACCAAGTTATCAGTATAGTCAAGAAATCAAGAACTAATTTATTTAGTGCCTGCTTAATGCCAGGTGTATGCTGTTAGACATGGTTCCTGCCACCATGTGAATAATGTGGGAATGACATTAAATAAGCATCTAAATATTGGAAGACTAAGATAAATGTTATAGGGAAGACTGAAGAACAGAGAGGACCTAGGTGAGATGGAGAAGAGAGGGCGGCATCATAGGCAAGGCTGTTCAGACAGCAAAGAGCTTGGCCTTTGGGGAAATAAAGACCAGTAAGCCTGAGTCTTCATGAGCAAAGTGGAGAATGGCTTAAGGCAGTGACGGCGAACCTTTTGAGCTCGGCGTGTCAGCATTTTGAAAAACCCTAACTTAACTCTGGTGCCGTGTCACATATAGAAATTTTTTGATATTTGCAACCATAGTAAAACAAAGACATATTTTTGATATTTATTTTATATATTTCAATGCCATTTAACAAAGAAAAATCAACCAAAAAAATGAGTTCGCGTGTCACCTCTGACACGCGTGTCATAGGTTCGCCATCACTGGCTTAAGGTGAGGCTGGAAAAGTAGGCAGTGGGCTTAAGCAGGGTCTTACAGGGCTTAGGGGAGATTTACAGAAAAAAATTTGGAATAAACATAGCCATTAAAGTGTGTGAAGGAAGAGAATGTATGTTATGTCTCATTTTTTATTTTTTATTTTTTAAAGGGATTACACTGGTATGTTGTGGGCAGAATGGTTTTGTAAGGGCCAGGAGGGAATTTGTTGGTATGTGGGAGGGGGCGTTTATGGTGATCTAAGCAAGAACAAAGGTGGTTTGGATTAGATCAGTGGTGGTGGAAATGGCACATGTGGTATATGTTAGAAAAAGAGTTTTGTTGCTGGGAGATGTTGTAACCTTTGGGTAATGTTATCTCTACAGGAGATTCCTATTGGATTTTCTGGGAGGGATGCATGTTAAATGAGTTTCATCAAAACCTTTTAATCTCAGCCAGTGTCTCTGGACAGTAGTGAGGCGCCGAGGGAATGTGGCACAGTATACACCTGAAGTGGAGGTGAGCAGGCAGGAAGTGTCAGCACGTAGAGTGTAGCGCAGGGAGGTCCAGGTGCCCGTGTGGAGACTTCTGGGCACCCAGTTTCCTGAAGCAGGCAGTTCTCAACGTTTTCCCAAAGACAGAATGAACTTTCTTTGGCTTTTTAGTTTTGCTCAGGACCAGCCTTTTTTGGGTCTCATTTTCTTCATTCTCCCTCTTTTCTTGGGTCCACATAGAAGACCATGTCTGCCTGCTGGATTGCATTGTCGTGGATCTGCAAGACATGGACATCTTTGCTGCCGAGAGACGTCCCCGGGAGTATTCGAAGGCCTCAGACGACAGCAGTGGAGATCTGGTCTTTCCCTCCTATTTTGTGCGACAGACGGGAGGCAGCCTCTTAACTGAGCCTTGCCGGCTGAAATTGCAGGTGGAAAGGAATTTGGACAGGTGAGTGTTTTATATCTGATTAACTATCACAAGTAGAATGTTAATAAGGCGGAAATCAGTGCTGTTAGGTAAGTGTGAAAGATAATCAGTGTTCGCTTATTTCTTCATGTAATAAATGTTCTAGACATGAGGGCTGCTGTGATGAAAGAAAAAACGTCTGCCTTCACAGAGCTTTGCTGAGGGATCTAGGAAGGCAAGTCAATGGTTCTAATTTAGTGTTTGAGTCAGTGCTATAAACTGTGCTAGGATTGCAGCAGGTGCCGTGGAGACAGGAAGAGACATACGTTTAGCATGGATTTTGGTGTGGGTAGGGAGGTGGTGATGGCAGGGAAAATATTTTGGAAGAGGTGACATGAGGATTATATGTTCCAAATACAGTAGGCTCTGGGCCTGGTATTGCTATTTTCCCTGGAGCTCCATTTAATCAGAATAACTGTTTAGATGCAGTTTTGCACATTTCACTCTATTGAGCAATCTGAAAGTACTCCATAAACACTAATGAACTGACTTTACCTTTTCACTGGTCTCTCAAAACACAGGATGCTTCTTTCTGTAGTTTAGAATGTCGTTTTAATTGTCATTAGTGCCATGCCTGGCTGGGAAAGGTCTTGAAAATAGGCATTCCCAGAGCCTACCTGAGTCCACCAGAAGCCGACTCTCAGGGCAGAGCCTCAGGTGTATATTAACAAGGTCGTCTGGGGGTGTTGGTGCCCACCTGGCCCTGTGCACGACTGGAGGCTGCTGGCCTCAGTACGTGAGGCCTTCAGTTTGAGGCACTAGTTTTGGAGAAGCAGCAACATTTGCATCTCAGCTCCAGGGAGAGATGAGCAGTGGTTGTAAAGTAATGCTTTGAAAAGCAGTCTCCTTGCTGGTATAGGGTGTGATTTGAGTCCCTCTTTGGCCACACCCTTTGCAGTCCTTGGGTTTGGGCAAGTCCTTTTATGTCACTTTTTTGTTTCTGTCTGGATTAATGAAAGAGTTTAGCTGCTCTCACTGGGATTTTTGCATTTCATTCTTACTTGTTATTCAAGTGCTCCTTGGCTGGTGTTCAGTTATGGTTGGCATGGGCTATATTTGGTTTTACTGGCTTAGCAGACTTAAGAGGAGCTTCATTATTTAGAAATCGAACACTTTGTTTTCTTTTCAAGTAATGCTTCCAAAAAAAAAGTGCTTTGCTACTCTCCTTATCTAAACGTTACCCACTTTCATCAGTGTTTATGTGCAAATGGTTATACGCTGTTAGCCCAGATAAAAGGTGATAACTGAACATAAGGCATCCGATCCGCTTCTCACTCCACCCAGACAGGAACCCAGGAGGGCACTCGGTAATCCCTTCCAGCTTCTCTTGGTTGGTTGCATCGCTGGTCCTTTTCACTATTGCATGTAGGTTTTTCTCTATAGACAACGTAACTTTTTATATTCCCCTTCCACGTGAAATCTGACCCTCTATTTTATGTACTCAGAGTGTGGCATCTGCAGGACCTAGCAGGCTCACTTTGCCCTGAGGAGGGTAGAGAAAAAGGTCTTCAGTGTGGGGATGAGATGTCTTACTCCTCAACCCGGCTTCTTCCACTTTACTCCTGCCCGTCTCCACTGAGACATGTCACTGACAGATTTTATCCTAATTGTCCCTCTGGGCTTGGGATAAAACACTGATTTTGTCCTTCAGTTATCACTAAATCTGAAGAGTTAAATAAAGAGCTTGTCATTATGTCTTTATTGCTTTTCCATCTATAATGTTTAAATTATTTCTGAGTCTCATGAGACTTTTTCCTTATTAATATATTCCTTAGTCAACTCATTAAATTTGGGACTTTGTAAATATATATTTTGGAAGAAAGGGGCTTTTTGTAGTTGAAGCATGACATTCAGTCATACTAACTTGCTTCGTTTGGAGCCACATGACATTTTTGTCATTGGAAGTTAGAAATTAACTGTTTGATAATGTAGGTGGGTACTTTTTAGCTCTTGTATTTGGGTGTGAACTATGTCAATGTCAAGTTAGTTTGGTTTGTACAATTTTCCCCTTTTGTTTTTTCATAGAGAGATAAGTCATACTGTGCCGGACATATCCATCCATGGCAACCTCTCCTCAGTCCACTGCTCCCTGGATTTGTACAAATACAAGCTGATCCGTGGTTTACTAGAGAACAACCTGGGAGAGCCCATAGAGGAATTCATGCGGCCTTATGATTTACAGGACCCAAGAATTCACGTGAGTGAGACCTCCTGTTCTTCTGTATCTCCCATTGCCTCAGCGGATGGTCACCCTGTGCATACATGCCTCAAGTCACCCCCGGAAAGAAGATGGAACAATCAGCAAATTAGATTTCTCGCCATCCTAATCCCAGTCCTCATTGGCACCATCAAGCATGGACTGACCAGCGTTTTCTTTTCCAGACGGTCCTGAGTGGAGAGGTGTACACATGCATGTGCTTCCTCATGGACATGGTAAATGTGAGTCTGGAGCTGAAGGATCCAAAAGGAAGAGAAGGTGCTGGGTCCCTGGCGAGGTGTGGCTCTCATTACATTGCATTGTTTTATAACAACAGTAATACAGTAACACTGATACAAGTAACCCACAGGTTTTGCTTTAGCAGAGAGCAGAGGTTCCGGAGTGCTGGTTGACAGTGGAATGTGGTCTGCAGAGTGCTTTTCACAAGTTCAAGTTCATCGCCGTCTATGTCCAGATAGCATAGGCTGCGCCCTGGTAGTAGGCTCTCGAAAATACCAGTGACTTAGAACAGGGAAGAGTTTCTCCTCCTGCTACAGGGGTCTCGGGCGTCTCTGCTCACTGCAGTCACCGCGGCTGACAGAGCAGACAGAGTCTTGACATGCCAGCGAGAAAAATAAGAGCCCCGGAGAGTCTTCCCAGGCATTTAATGCCCTGGCAAACCTCATGGGTTTGAACTCGGGCCCACACATGCACGGCCGAGTCAGCACGCAGTCGTACTGTGTCTGCATAGGGGAGACCCGGACTGTTTGGTGAGCAGCACTGACGTTTCCCTCACTGGCCAACATTTACAATTTGGGGTTTTCACACAAAAAGTTGGGGTTTTAGTTTCTTTTGAAAAATTGGAAGCTTTGGCAGTGCTGGCCCATGTGTTCATTTGGGAGCCCTAGAAGCTAGTGGCAACTTGGGAAACCTCTCGAAAGGGCATGTGTTTATGCAGCCATTCATTTATTTATATCATCTGCTTGGTCAGTGTAGACCAGGAATTTGTTCTTAGCAGTGGGGACCTTTAAGAATGCATTGTGTTTTCACACTCGATCACCTTTCATGTAGATATCTGGACAGCCATGTAAGGTGGTGCAGACATTACTTTTCTCTGGCTTCCAGATAGAGTTTTTGACTAATGTAAGGTTATATGGCTGGAAAAGTGTTCCGATGTTTGAAAACAGGACTTCAGCCTAGTGATTTCCTCACGGAAGCACTCTATATTCTACTTTGTTTTTCCCTTGGAAATCCATCCTGGTCTGTATCTAACTCAGCTGGAGTTCCATGCTGATTGTTTTGTTGCAAAATTTTTTGATGACTGACTATGCCCTTAGTTTTCTCCAATATCTGTACAGATTGTCGTGATGGTACTAAGTGACTATGAGTTGTCCATTGCAGTTTTCTCTGTTATTAAAAAAAAGTCAGTCCCAAATGCATTTCCTTTTGGTGGGCGAGTTGCGTTATTTTTCTGTAATGATGGGTATTGTTTGTTCTGGTAGTTTCCATTAAGCTATAGTGTCTGAGGTAAAAATTAAGCAAACTCTGGAAAGAGACTCCTCTAGGCAGGCTAGAAGTTGACAAATGAAGGACTAAAGGGATCCTTGACATCCCTTGTGGATTATTGCATATACAGCGTGGGGCAAAACAGGTTTACAGTTGTGAGTACTGGAAATAGAGTTTATTCTTGTGTTATTATTTATTAATTATTGTATTATTTTCTATCCGAAAACCTGTAAACCTACTTTTGCCCCACCCTGTATTCAGTCTTCTTAGGCTTGAGATGAGAAATGAGATGCAAAATGAACCAAGAATATAATACATGTGTGGTATTGCTGTTCCTCATGAGATTCCTGTAGACAAGATCATCTCTTTGGAAATAGAAAGTAAGATGCAGAGCCTAGTGATACTAAGTCCATTTTGAGGAATCTGTTAAAATCAATGAAAGATCTCAGAATAAATGTTATCCTCCTTCATAGAACTTAAGCATACTTATTATTTTGGCGTTTTTTTTTTATCTTGAACTTACATAATTTTGTAAAAGGGAAGAGTTTAACATCTTGTCTGATTTCTTCCTTTTAGATTTGACTTTAAGAAATGTAAACTGCTCTTTGAGAGCTTTTCCAACCAAACCAAGTCCGTTAACTTGGTTTCCCATTCCATGATGGCTTTTGACACCCGCTATGCTGGGCAGAAGGCCAGTCCTGGCACGACCAACGTCTTCAGCTGTATCTTTCAGCCCTCCAAGAACAGCAGCACAACCCAAGGATCCATTCAGATCGAGTTGCATTTCAGGTAGTACATCCAACCCCTGGTCTGCCTTTCTTCATTGAGATATTTCCTTTTGTGGCCATAGCCATGTTGGCTGTAGAGCAGCAGCAAAGGGCCAAGGAATCACTGAAAAGATAAATACATAATGGCCCCTCAGTGTGCAATGTAATGTGTATTGACTCAGTATTCCTGTAACCTTGCAGCTTCACTTATTGGCCAAAAGGTGTCTCTGTTGTTTAAAAAAAGATTAGAGTTACACCAGATTCTTGGAATCAATCTGCTGTAGACTAAGGATGTCAAACTCGTGGCTGTGAGTTTGACATGCTTGCTGTAGGCTGTTTTAATATGCAAAGCAACTTGGGGAGGGAGGTGGGTACTATGTTTGTTTAAGGAAAAAGAAAGACTTTTGTCTGTAGAGATAACAGAAGGGAAAGTGTTTCTTTTTGTGTGTGCGTATGTGTATTTTCTTTTTAATTCTTTATTGTCTAAAGTATTACATATGTCTCCTTTTCCCCCCATTGACCTCTCCCTGGCCACTCCTACCCCCCAACGTAGGTCCGCACCTCCCTAGTGTCTATGTCCATCGGTTATGCTTACATGTATGCATTCAAGAAGTTTGGTTGATTTCTTACCCCCCCTCCCTCCTCAACCCCCCTCCACACCCACACACATGTACCTCCGAGGTTTGATGGTCTGTTCAATGCTTCTCTGTCTCTAGATCTATTTTTGTTCATAAGTTTATGTTGTTCATTATATTCCACAAATGGGTGAGATCATGTTTTGATTACATTACTATGAACATAGGGATGCATATATTCTTTTTTGATATATCCCTAGAAGTGGGATCACTGGGTCAAATGGGAGTTCCATTTTTAGTTTTTTGAGGAAACGACATACTGTCTTCCACAGTGGCTGCACCAGTCTGCATTCCCACCAGCAGTGCACAAGGGTTCCTTTTTCTCCACATCCTCGCCAGCACTTGTTTGTTGATGATAGGGGAAGGTGGTTTTGTCTTGCATTACCGATTACCTCTGCAAGTCTTGCTGACTCACTTTGTCATTAAAAAGCTTTAGCTTTCAAACTAGATTATGTTTTCTTTTTGGTATTATAGGAGGCAGTTGTGTCTGTGGAAAGTGTGAATGTTCTGGAATCATACAGATCTGGGGTCAAAAACTCCATTTACACTTTCTAACTATGTGTCCCTAGAGCAAGCTATTTAACCTTTTTGAGCTGCATTTTCCTCTTCTACAGTATAAGACAGAAAAGCACAACTGTACCTGCCTGGCATACTGTTTGGCACAGATGGTGGAAGCCATTATTATTCCTGAGGTAGCTTGTGTTATTTTATGATACACTACAGAAAGATTTGATGACTAAGTGAGCATTGGCCTGAAAACTGAAAAATTAAATCTGACGTAAAGAAATCTCTTCATGCAAATCCAAAAGGAGACCTGTCGCAGCAATATCAATTTCATTCTGTTCGTGCATAATATCATCAGATATGTTGTAAATATAGACCAGTAACGAAAAGGCTGGGTTAAGAGAGAAGAAGTAAGTGAAAATTTCTTGGTTAGGCATAAAAAGAAAAAAAGTCACCAAGATTATCCTTGTATTTATATGTTTAAATATGCATGACACTTCAGAATGCTGTTCAGTGAATTCCTCAGGACTGCACTGTTTTTTAGGGAGAGGTTGTGGTCTCTCCATAAGCCTTAGGAAACTAGCAAAGTAGACATTTCAGCTTTTGTATGAACTTTTTAAAAGCTCAGTACTAGGAACGCTCGCTGGCTCTTATTGAGCCTAACATGAGCCAGGCACGCTACCCACCTTTAGTTCCCACAAATCTGCAAGGTGGGTGACTTTCTTCCCCATTGGACAGATGCAGAGCTAGAAGCATGGAGGGGGTTAGTAACTCTTCTCAGGTCACACAGCTAGTGAGTGAAATAGTCAGAACTCACACCTGAGCCCCTGATTCAAAGTCCATTTCTTTCCTGATGGTCTGCGGGCGATTGGGCTGATTGTGGTCAGATGACAGGTGGCCGTGCTTTGCAGCTCCTTTGTTTGAAGACAATGTTCATTTGAGCAGGAAGCTTGCATATATTTGGTTCATCTGCAGCACCAGTTTCTTTTTAGGTTTGCTTTAATAGTATTGATCTAATAACGATCTGGCTTCCTAAACTATCAGCTGGCTTTTCAGCCTATCATGTTTTTGATATATAAGCAGCCTTGAAATATTGTTCTATTTATATACTCAAGGTATATAATTTCTTGGAGCCAAATAATGAAGTCTTACCTTGGCTCTTGCTAACAGAGGTGCCATTGTTAGCGAGAGGGTTAACATGTTCTCTTGATTGGAACTTTTGAACGCTTTCTGTGTCTCAAGAAGAATTGCTCTTTTGTTGGGATTTTGTGTGTCAAATATAAATCACTTCACAGTGTTTAAAGGCTTGAAATATTTTCCAGAAAAGGGATCAGACACACTTTGACTTTCCAGTTAGTGCATAGCTCTGACGATCTGTGTTCAAAATGGGGTGGAAAATTTTCACTGAGGGCAACATTTTTTCTCCATTACAAAAGGGTAAAGTGTTTCTGTGAAAAATGCTGTGTCTGTATGAAGGAGACATACATCATTGTGCCTCTTTTCTAGAGGCAGTGAGCCAGGTTTAGGAGAAATATGAGCATAGGGAAGCCAGTCTTCCAGATATCTCCGAATCACTTTTTCCAGAATAGGAGCCCTGTTAGGGGAGAGAACCAGGTGCATGCATTAGCTAGAGGCCCAGAACAAAGTTCAACCCAGAAAACGCTGTAGAGATGTCCCCAGCCCACTGTCCTTCTGTGCTACCTGTCTGCCTGCTGCCCCGATGGGCCAGGCCAGGTCTGAGGGTCCTCCTTGACTTTTCACCTCAAATGTAGAATTTGGGGTAAAGGGACTACAGGACGAGTATCTCTCTCTCCACCCTCGCCCCCCTCAAACCCCATTCCACTTCTAGGGTGCTTGGGGTCATCCCCACAATAAACACTATCTTATTTGTCCTCCTGCTCAGGCTAAAAGACCTGGGTTCTCAGGTCAGTTCCAGTAGAGAAACCACCTGGCGCTGGTGTGTAAATGTGTGTCTGTAAAGAAGCGATTCTAGACATCAAGGAAAGAGAGCCTCCTTGATCTCCTTGAAACAGCCTTAGGGAAGGGAACTGACATTTATCAAATAACCTGTTCTGTGCCTCAGAGAAGGTAGGCTGCTCACCCAAGATAACACGTCTTGTTAAATGACAGGATTTAAGCCTGTGCCCTTTTTACTGTAGCCTCAGCACTGTTGACATTTTTAGGTCAGATAATTTCTTATTGTGGGTGCTGTTCTGTGCATTGTGAAATGTTTAGCACCATCCCCGACCTTAACCACAAGATGCCGATAGTAATACCCCCTCCCGCAGTTGTGTCAACCACAAATACCTGCAGACATTGCCAGATGTCTTCTGGAGGACAGTCACCCTTGTTGAGAACCATTGGACTACACTGTACTGTTTTTTATAGCATACTAGTGCCCCGTGCACGGATTCATGCACATTGAAAGTATATTAATTAGAAGGTGGCCGGCTGGGTGGGACTGGGTGAGATGGGCCGGACATGCCCTGGAGCCAACCTCCCACAGTCCCTCCATGGCCGGCTGCACTTGGGGTGGCCCAGTGACTCGAAGGGCATCTGCAGAATGAGCGGGATCCCTCAGGTAAGTGGGGTCCCTTGGTTTGGCCTGCGGGAATCAGGCTGAAACCGGCTCTCTGACCCCCCCTACCGCAAGGGGTCCTGGATTGTGAGAAGGCGGTTCTTGGGTGATGCACCCGGAATCAGGCTCCCTCCTCTTTGGTTCTGGGGTGTCTCACCCAAGAACTGCCGCTGCCAAGTCACTGCAGCTCTGCAGCTCCTGTGTTGAGTGTCTGCCCCCCTGGTGGTCAGTGTGCATCATAGCTACCAGTCAGAGCATCTGTCCCCTGGTGGTCTTTGCACATCATAGCTACTGGTCAGACGGTTGCTTAGCCTTTTATATATATAGATTACTTCTTATTAAAAATATGATTAACTTCTGAAAACATACATTTAATGTTTTATTATACCAGTTTTCAGAGTTTATTGATATAGCTGTCAGTGTAGAAAATGCTGGAATACCATCTGCCAAAACTGGGTAATACATTTGTTGGCTAATGAAATGTCATGTTTCTCCTTTCTGATGTCTTTTTTTTTTGCTCTTCTTTCATGCAGATCTACGAAGGATTCCTCCTGTTTTACGGTCGTTCTCAACAATCTCCGAGTGTTTCTCATATTTGACTGGCTGCTGTTAGTCCATGATTTTCTCCACACTCCCAGTGACATTAAGAAACAAGCTAATGTTACCCCTTCTCGCCACCGGAATTCTAGCAGTGAATCTGCTGTAGTTCCCAAAACTGTGAAGAGTGGAGTAGTTACCAGGCGGTCTTCCCTTCCTGTATCCACTGAAAAGCACTTGGAGGTCAAGGTCAATGTAACAGGTGAGTATTCGTAGGTGTGAGCCACTGCTCTGAGTTTAAATGTTAGGTTCAGTGTGTTGCAGGGTGACTTTCTATTGCCTTTCATTTTTTGACATGAGCACTTATACATTGGAGTCTTTCATAGACCAACAGTGAGCATCAATGTTCCTGACCTCTTTGTGTGGGTGTGAACTGCCTGGCCTGAGGTGAAGGCTTCAGGGTCTCTTGTCTTTTTCCTCTGCTCACCTAATGCACATCCCAGCTTGAGTACTACCTGGGCAGTGGTCTTTTCCCCCCCAGTGTTAAAAATCTGCTTCAGTTTTCTATTTGATCTTTAGGGCCCCAACAGATGTGCCTTACTGAGTTTGGGCAAGTTTGGTATGTGAAAATTTCATTTTATAATAAGTGAGGGGATTGTTTTCTCTTTACAAAAAGAATATATATATTTTTTATGAATAGATTTATTGTGGTTTTTATTAACTATTGAACTCTAGTTCACGAACTCTAGTACATCTGTATGTGTTTGTGTATTTATTGTTTGTGATATTCCCTATGAACTATACAATGGGTTGGAAGCAGCTAGCATTTTAAGTGGATTTAGTTTTGAAAGATCACTCTATCCATGGTTTTTGATGAAGACACACAGTATATAAAGCAAAGTAAATTTGCCATGTACACATGAGTAGGAAACTGCAGGTACTGATTTCAAAAATCTCTACACTGGATTGTTCTTCATTCTTTGAAAACAACTTGAACAGCTACATAGATGATATAGTGTCCAGTGCAGCCTGCCCAGCGTTCCTATCTGAATCTACTTCCTGGGATTTTAAAGCAGGTCATCATTTGGAGGAGGGATGATTCTCTGAGCTTCTGAATATGTTAGTCCTCCCAGGAGACCTAGGTTAAAAACACGTTCTAAAGAGAGAAACTGCACTGCAGTTTCTTCTGCCTGGGCAGGCTCTGCTAGCTCAGCTGTGCCTGGCCAGATGCACAGGATTGTCCACGGTGACCGTGAAGGAGAGAGAAGGTGGACACCCTGGAGCACAGGTCTGATGGTCACGTCCCTCCCAGTGGCCACGTGCTGCCTAGTTCCCGGCAGCCTGGTGCTTCCCAGCCTCCCACTTGGGCGTGGTTAACGGTGCTCTCCTTGCAGGTACAGAGTTTGTGGTCGTGGAAGACGTGTCCTGCTTTGACACCAACGCCATTATTCTCAAAGGCACCACAGTGCTTACCTACAAGCCCCGATTTGTGGATCGCCCCTTTTCAGGAAGTTTGTTTGGTATCGAGGTAAGAAGCTTATGAGTTGATCGAAAGACTACATGTTTGGCTCAAGAGAAGAGCAGCTGGAAGAGACTTTGACCTCCTAAGCTTTCATTAGGAGAAATAATTAGCAGAACTGGAGGATCCCTGCCCTCTTTTTGTTTTCTCCTCAAAGCTACCGGCTTATTCTGATGTGTGAATTGAGTCTTCCAGTGTCAGGGCGAGTATGAGTGGAGGGACTTTACCTCCTTCTTACACCCTCCTTCCTCAGAACGTCAGGCTCCCCGGTACCCGGCCGGGCTCCCTGCTGTGTCCTCTGGTTCCGCAGGCCTAGTCCTTGGCACCTTTGTGAAGGTGGGGAGGTGGCCCTCATTTCGGCTGCATCCCTTCCCCACAGTGACTGCTTGTCTCTATGAAGACGAGGGCTTTGTGGTCATGGAAATGTAGTTATAAAAGATGTGAAGAGTTTCGTGTATTATCCTTTTAGGAATATCTGATCTATAAAAGGGCAGCTTTGGAGAGTCATGCATTACCTAAAGGAGTGAATAGTGCTGTCCAGGCCCTGGTTTAATCTCCTGAACGAGATGTGCATTGAAGTGGCCTCTGTAGCCTGGAAATTATATTGTACCATCTTAAATAAAAATGCTTTCCTCTTTGTAAGCCAGGGCTCTTGGAGAGAAGGGGAAATGAGGCATATTATCATCTCTATCAAAAGTTCTTCATTCCCTGATCTCGGCTAACATTCCTCTTGTTATAAGTGCTACAATGTTGGGTCAGAGTTACTCATCATCTCCTTTCCTTTCACGACTGAACTTTCCATGCCCTATTCTTTCCAGTGATACCATTCAGAAGTTGATGAGCAAAACTTATTTTCACTGTCAATCGCATATGGTGCTTCCCCCCACCCCCCGGTCAGATATCGCTGATTAAAACCTGTAGAGATTTCACTTCTTGACCACTTGTTTTCTCTCCTGTAAAGAAACCTCAGTTTGAGAGGAAGGATTTACATGCTTGTGTGATGTGAGTTGATCATGAAATTGCAATTCATCTGCTTTCTAAGCCACCACAATGCCAGCTTTGAATGGAAACTCTTGGTGATTGATTAATGAGCTGTTAGGTACAATTGGGTTTTGTGTAGCAGAAGCCCCTGGAGAAAAAGGGAAAACGCAGCTCTCCTGCTCCAGAGCCTTAGAACAACTGCGCGGCACAGTATTTGAGCTTCCTGGAAACTGCTTGCCATCTTGTTCTCCAGGCAGCATGGTGGAATCTGAGCTGTGAGCCTGCTTGGTACAGTGTCGCACTTAGAAAGAAAGCAAAGCGTGTTAATTTTACATATAGCAAAGGACCCCGGTGTCAGACCTGTGTTTCAGTAGCACTAAGACATGTCAGAAAAGCGCAGGGGAAGGAGCAAGGGAAACCGGCATGAATGCTTTCCTCTCTGTACTTTTCCTGAGTGTGCAGAATAATTTGATCTTAGAATAGGAGTCCTCCCTCCCTTCTCTTCTTTCTCCCCAGAAATAAAATATATTTTAAAGCTTTTTAATAGAACATTTCAAACATGTACAAAGGAAACAATAATATAATGACCACTGTGTAGCTGTTACCCAGCTTCAGTAATTAATGTCGTTATTTTTAACTATGAATGGAACAGCTATAGTATATAAAATTGGGGCAGGGGAGGGAAAAACACCTATCCCTCCATAAATAATCTCTGTTGATATTTCAATGTGTTTCTTTCCTTAAAGTCATGGTGTAATCATTATTTATTGGGCTGCATTTTCACATAACCTATATTGTGACTATCTTCCTGTATTCCATATGCTCTTTTTAACTGTCACTTTAAGTGGCTGCAAAATATTCCATTGAGTAGCTATGCATATTGAGTGATTAAACCTTGATTGCTCTTTTTAAATTTATTATTATTATTTTTTAACCTTGATTGCTCTTAATTGTTTTTGTTAGCTATTAAATAATGGCTCAGTGAATTTTTCTATATTTTGCATTATTTCCTTAGGCTAGTTCCTAGAAAGAAGTAGAGTGGTTGGCTTAAAGGGTGTGAGAGTTTTAAGTCTTTTGTTATGTGTTGCTAAACTGCCTTTCACATGAACCGCTGAACATGCTGTGGGCAGTCGGGAAGTACCAGCCTCACTCCTCACAGTATTTCAGCAATTGTCATGGGTGTTGCTTCTGAGCTCGTCTCTTTTTCAGCTGATGGTCAGGTTCTTTCTAAATCAGACATTAATTCTTAGCATATACATTTTATTCTCTAGGTGTTTTCATGCCGACTGGGGAATGAACATGATACGGCTCTTTCGATTGTTGATCCAGTACAAATTCAGGTGGAGCTGGTGGGGAATTCTTCTTATCAGAACAGCTCAGGACTGATGGATGCGTTCAACAGCACAGATTTCCCACCGATCCTGGAGGTAATGATGAGCACCTGTGACATGTTGATGCACTCTCACACACTTGCCTGAGCTGGGACTATATGCCTCTGCTGGGCCCAACAACATTTTAGGTCCTTCAGCAACAAAATACAAATAACATCATCTCTGTCCTAAGATCTTGCTGTCTTGTGGAAGATGAAAGACCTTTTAATTGTCTAGTATAACCTTGAAGTTCTATAAAGGTTTATGGAAAGCACAGCTCCACACAGGTAGGACTGTTGGTTGTGAATGGAGGGGAGGGTATATAGGCAGAGAGGGAGAACATTCCATGTTAGGAAGCCCTGAGGTCAGGGGTGCACATGGCTCAGCAAACGTGAGACAGACAAGTCTCGCTAGAACAAGGAGGCATGTAGGGAACTGAGGAGGAGAAGGATGTATGGTGAAGCAGGGAGGGCGAGGCCTGGCAAGGAAGGCCTAAGAATTTGATGTTTTATTTCTTTGGTAGAGGGGGAATAGGAGCCTGAAAGAGAGAGAAAAGCAATTTTGATGTTCAGTTTTAAAAAAAATTAAAAATAAGTAAATAAAGCATCATACACAGACATTTGAACAGCCATCCGATTTTTAAAGTGGGTTGGTGTCTATATGGCTTTTACTAGTGTTGACTGTATTGCTAATCTCTGAGGAAGACCAGAGGTTTAGGAAATATTCATGTGGAACTTGAATCATTTTAGGTTCTGTTTAAATAAAGAAAAGATACTTTGGTTGGTCATTTTGTTTCAGAGATTTAAAAAAAATAGATCAAAGCAAAATGGACTAACAAAATGTTGCTTAAAGGTGATCTTATCTCCCCTACAGCCAATCTTTGATCCTCTGCTTTAATGATTAATGTTCTTTTATGAAAGTCATCCTACGCCTTCCCTCATGTCTATTAGTGCTTAATATAGTGAGCTTTCCAGTTTTCAAAATGAGAAATGTAGTGTCTTTTGGACCTCTGAAACTTGAATTAGGGAATTGTATCTGTAAGAGGTGTAGATGCAAAACCAAACTTTAAAACCTGCCACCATTTTCATTTTGACAGATTCAGTTACAAGCCCTGGATATCAGACTCTCCTATAATGATGTTCAGCTGTTTCTTGCTATTGCAAAATCCATCCCTGAGCAAGCTAATACTGCAGTGCCCGACACGGTGGCCTCGGAGGCCAGCTCCGTTAGCAGTGGCCTTTCTGGTGCGACTCGAGTTGGAGAGGAAATCAGAGAAGGGACAAGACATACCTTAGATCCTGTCTTGGGTAGGTGTTTAACTTTAAACCCACTTAGTCTTTCTAATGACTTTCCTTCTGTTTACTTTTAAGATTTTCTTTTAACACACCTTAATTGTTCAGAGTATAATTGTATGTCATTAAGTATAATTGGGAGCCTAAATATGCTTCTCTATTTTTAAAAAATTTTAACACCCCAAACCAACTGTTCTAGCCTATCTGTTTCCTTTTGCAATTTTCTCTGGAGTTATATGGAAAATGCTAAGGTTTGGTTTTAAGCTTTGAGTTTTCTTTCAAAGTTATGTAGATAATACTAAATTTCAGCTTTAAACTTTTTAAAACACAATCAATATACAGAAAAAGGCTCCTATAATTTTCAGGGTACACATGACAAAAGTCTAATTAGCCCATTTTTGCCTAGAGAAATGAAATGTTTTAGTCACCAGTTTCTGTATTTTTTCGTTTTCCTTAAATTAGTCTATGGATTAATTAACAAAGATATTAATAAAAATCCTGTACCCCTTTGTCTAGAGTTACAGCTGGCTCGACTGCAGGAGCTGGGATTCAGCATGGACGATTGTCGCAAGGCTCTTTTGGTGTGCCAAGGTAATTAATGTGTCTCCATAACTCCGCTTTATCTTTCTCTCTTCTTTCCTCTACTTCAACGGATGTCATAGTAGAGGAAAGATGGCTTCTGGCTTTAATACATAAAAGGTGTAATAAAATGAGTGGAAGACATGCAACAAAGAGGGCCTTGTTATATGCTTAAAAGCAGAATTTCTATTATTATGCAATTTTTTCTTTTTTATGTCTAAGAATACAGTTGGATCAAGGTTCTCTTGGGTTGTCCAGTAGGTCCCCATACACTTTCTCTACTTCCTCTGTGAGTTGCTTGAGTCGCTGTGGGAACTGGTTGAACTGATCCCCTTTTAATTTCTTTGCAGGCCAGTTAAAAAAGGCAGCAAGTTGGTTGTTCTTTCCCTGGCCTCTAATAGCCAAGAGAGCCAGGGGACCGCACCAGCTCAGTTGATCTCGGGCGTGGAGATTAAGGCTGAGAGTGTGTGCATCTGCTTCATCGATGACTGCATGGACCGTGATGTTCCTCTTGCCGAGCTCACCTTTTCCCGTGAGTGTTCTCCTGGTTTCCAGACTCATCTTGAAGATTTCCCGTGATTGCTGAATTATTTGGGGCCTTTTTGTGTTATTCATGCCCTCTACTTAGTAGTATGGATGGATATTTAGATAATGGTTTTACATATGTTCTTCATTATTTGTGTTTTAAAGAAATGTGTATTTATTTGCCATATGTGGCCTTCAGCCTATAGCTGTGGAATAATCAAAATTGTCATTGACAAAATTTCTGTTATATTAACAGCTCTAGCTAAATAATTCCTGATCTCTCCACCTTATTTATTTATTTATTTTTTGTTAAAATATATTTTATTGATTTTTTACAGAGAGGAAGGGAGAGAGATAGTCAGAAACATCGATGAGCGAGAAACATTGATCAGCAGCCTCCTGCACATCCCCTACTGGGGATGTGCCCACAACCCAGGTACATGCCCTTGACCGGAATCGAACCCGGGACCCTTCAGTCCACAGGCCGACGCTTTATCCACTGAGCCAAACCGGTTTCGGCCTCTCCACCTTATTTTTTAATGTATCTGAATATTGTAGTGATTGTAGTGTAGTGTTATTAAAGGCATTTAGAATGCTCCTGCTCTAAATATCTTTTGAAAATAGAAAACACAGTCCTAGTAGAGTCCCCTTCATAGGGCAGGGAAGAGGTGAAGTGTGTACAGGGACTAGGGTAGAAGTGCGTTAGCCTAAGTCCCGCCATTGTAAACTGTGTTCCATGCGGCTGCTGCAGAGAGTAAAGGAACCTCTCCCTGCTGTGTTTACTTTTAATTTTCCATTGTTTTGATCTTGCTAGCCTCTAGTCCCTTCAAAGAAAATTGGTTCCGGGGATTTAATTTGACCTTTTGCCCGTTGTAGAGGTTTTCCTTTTCCTGTGCTTCTGGGCACTTACAAGGGCCACGTGATTAAAACTAGCAACTGGGACTTGGACTGTTTCCATGAGTATCTTTTCTGCAGAGCACCATTATTCCTTATTTTTCTATGGTAATCTTAAAAATTTGAGCTAATATTTATCAGGACATGACTGCTCCTATCACTGTACCTTCTTGTAAGATACTCAGTTAGAAATGTTTTTATGTCCCTACAGGCTTCAAATACACCTGGGTGCTGGGCCCGGGTCTGGTACTGGAGGGAGACAAAGGAGGCATTGACTTCAGTCACAACCTTTAAAGGTTGCCCAAAACTCAGTAATGAAGAGAAATGGTATTTTAATGCAGTATTTTAAAAATCAGAAACCATGCAAAGAACTCTGCGATGAACAAAGCATCAGATTTTTATGTGCTTTCTTGTGAGATCATCAGTTTTAGCTGTAACTAACATCTCTCTAAAGGGTTTTGTCTGCAAAAGAAAGTTTTGGTTGTTCCGCCGCGGCTCTGCATTGAGCGCTGTTTTCCTTGCAGGTCTGAATTTTCTTCAGCGCATAAGAACCAGCCCCGAAGGCCACGCCCACTTCACCCTTTCTGGAGATTATTACAACCGGGCTCTGTCAGGTCAGTGTAAGCAGAGGTGATTGTGGGACTTCACACTAATATTTGCCTGGACCTATTTCTACATAAATTTTACATGAGGGGAACAGGGGTGGGCCAGGGCAGGGAAAGATAAAACAAGTGACTACATAACACAAAAGATAGAGCTTTTTCCTTTTTCTAATTCAACTGAATTATTTAAAAAGGTGTTTTGATTAGTTAAGTCTTTTTGACCCTGAAATTTGACGTATTCTAGAACATGAAATTGCTCAGTAGTGAAGGATCATTTGGCTGGCCCGGGTAGTAGGTAAATTTCCAAGGAGATTTATGGCCATAATCATTTTAAATTTCAAGCCTCCTCACTCCCTGCTGGACTTGTTTGTTTTATTAGAAGAGAACTGAGTCAGTGATCGTGTCTAATCTGCCATAGCTACTCCCTAAAGTAAAGCACAGTTCATCAGAGCAGCCTCTCCTTCTGGAGTCAGAAAGCCCTCATATCCTGCAACGCATTTCCAGGGTCTTTCCTTCCATGGAGAGACCAAGCTAAGGGCCTAGACCAGTGGTTCTCAACCTTCCTATTGCCGTGACCCTTTAATGCAGTTCCTCATGTTGTGGTGACCCCCAATTTCATTGTTACAAATTGAACATAATGAAAGCATAGTGATTAATCACAAAAACAATATGTAATTATATATGTGTTTTCCGATGGTCTTAGGCGACCCCTGTGAAAGTGTCGTTCGACCCCCAAAGCGGGGTCGCGACCCACAGGTTGAGAACCGCTGGCCTAGACGGATCGACATTCAGTAATCGCCCTGCATCAGGGCCGAGAGGGTTGGGCTGGGAAATTCTTTACCTTCAGAGAGTTTTTAGTAGCGGTGGACCAAGTAAACAGAGTGGTGCTGTGCAGGCTGAGCTTCGGTGAGGGGTTGCTCCTTTTGCTCTCAATGGAAAATTGAGCCTCCGTGTGTTGTGCTGCTGAGTGTTCTAGAGCAGCGGTCGCCAACCTTTTGGACCTCACGGACCATTAGTGGTCCACGGACCACCAGTTGGCTACCGCTGCTCCTAAGGTTTCCTTAAACCAGCAGTCGTCAACCTTTCAGACCTCACCGACCACCAGTGGTCCACGGACCACCTGTTGGCGACCGCTATTCTAGAGCCCGACTCATTTAATTCTCTGTTAGTTAACGTTTTCCTTTCCGTTTCAAATTCACTCAGAATAACAATCATTTCCTGATTGTTCAAAATGTTTTAACTGGAGAACAATGGCCCAACTCTTGCTATTTGAGAGAAACTCTTACAGGGCATATGGTAGCTATTTTTCTGGGAATCGTTTGTTTTCTCAGAGTAAATATGGCTTACTTTTAAGGTTGTATGAACACAGGCAGGTCACTAAGGGTGCTGATGGTGGGATTTGTAAATCAGCTCACCTGTGGCTGATTGAGTATATTTAGAACTGTTAAAAATTAACTGGCCTTGAAAAGTATCACAGTGGGATACCATTTTTCTCACCCACCAGCCTGGCAAAAATTAATGTCGTCACTATTAAATATTAGTGACGACATGAGCCATTGAACTCTTATTTCCTGCTGCTAGAACTGTAAATTGGTGCAACCGCTTTGGAAAATAATATGTCATGACCTAGTCAAGTTGAGTGTAAGCATCCCAACAGCCCAGGATTATGCTGCCTCTAGGTCGGTGCTGGGGGAGTCTCTTGCCTGTGTGTCCCAGAAAATGAGCACAGTCAGCTGATGGCCCTGGGCTTCCTAACAGCAATGAAACGAGTCCATGCCTATCTTTCAGCGGTAGAACGGGTAGATTATACGGCATAGTCCTCAATGGATTACCGTTCAGTGGTGAGAACAAATGTGTCACAGCTACGCGGCATCAGTATGAGTGAATCTCAAAGCTAGGTTGTTGAGCAAAATAGAAACTTGCAAAAGAATACATGCAGTCGGCTTCTATTTAAGTAAAGATCCCCAACAGAACAGACTAGTCAATATGCCCTTAAGAAATGCATCTATGTGTGGTGGAACTGAAACGAAGAGCAAGGAAGTGATTAGAAACCCAAGAGCATGGTCACTGGCAGTTGGATGGGAGAGGGTTGGTGAGAAGGGGGACGGAGATGGGGCCTGGCACTCGTGGTTTTCTAGTTCTTAAAGCCGAATAGTGCGTGCGTGCGTGAGTATTGCAGTAATTTTATTCTTTAAACTAGACATATATATGTGGTTTATATGCCTTTGTACATATGACATTTTAAGTTAAAAAATTGGAAAATCTTAATGGATTTACAAGTATACCTATCTATTTAACCAGTGGTTTCATGATGTAAGCAAGGGAATCAAATTTAATAGTTACATCAGCCAGTGATGCTACTTTTCGGAGACTCCGTTTTTATCTTGAGAGAATCAAAAACAGGCTCTGCCCCCACTTTAAGGGGAGAGGCACATCGCCTCCACCCCTGGAAGACCATGGTCGGCACAGACATGCTTTTCTACTTATATCCCCTCCATAGCACAGGCATCTGTAGGGCGACCTGTGGCTAAAGATGGTGCTTTCATTGTGAAATCAAATTGGAAATAGAAAGCTATTAAGCTACAGCCTGTCCTTGCTGAGCATTTGTGAGCAGTGTCCCCTATAAACTCTTGGTATCTGCTGAACAGATGTCTGATTTCCTGTTCTCAGGCTGGGAGCCATTTCTTGAGCCCTGGCCGTGCACTGTATCCTGGCAACAGCAGGCAGCTAGTCGTCTCCATCCTCCTCGGCTGAAGCTGGAAGCCAAGGCCAAAACCCGTTTGGACGTCAATATCACTTCAGTACTAATTGGTGAGTGGAAAGTTGTCTTCAGAAGGTTGGTACATTTCTGTACATAGGTCCCTTGTCTGGAAGACTGTTAATCCTGGTTTAGCAAATGCTTGGGCCTGTACAAGACATCACTTATGCATCATGGCTCTTTCCTGAAAATCCCTAACCTAGCCTCAGGATTCTTCTCAACCCAGTGCTGCAGAGTTAGCATCCCAATTAATGCGATCAGCCATCAAACAAGAGCTTGACCTGCTTAGGAAACATGAATGTTCATGATGAACTTCCTCCTCGTCATGCTTGGTCACTGGGATGTAGAAGTGGCTTTAGATTCACTTCTCTCCGGCAAGTCACCGAATAATTCTTAAAAGGTATAATTTTGACCTTGTCTTTATAGCAGGATAAGTTGCCTGTATTGTCTCCCATCAGGTATCATGTCAAAGATAAAAGAGTTGTAAAAGAGTTGCCAAGCTAATGGTGTATGTTCTGAGAGTTTCTTTGACAGCATGGAAGTGTACATTCCTGGATTCAGTGTCGTGAATCAGAACTACTCTATGCTTGTATTTATATCATGGAAACTCATACATGATTATTTATCGTACAACTCACACTTTTGGAATTACTGATCTAGCGATCTGATTTGTGGGGACAACTGTAGTTATCTCTGAGTGATAGATAACACACACACTGTTGCAAATCTGTGAACTTTCTTCAGCATGTGTGGTGTATTGAGGCTCTCAGAATGTCCATTGGCTTATTCTATGTCAGTAAGATGGAGAGAATGCATAGTGAAATAAGACCATAAGTGTAATGATCCTCAAATTTTAAAACCATTGTTTTACATGATCAGATTTCATTCACTAATTTGCCTGGATATTATTACCTATGTAACAGTAAATTGATCTCATGATCCTCCTATACTATTTTATTTCGCTTCTTAGGTTATTTCTT